ATGTTAACTTGACATTTTTAGAATAATATATCGGTTGACACAAAGTACATGATAAAATCAGAGAACATTTATATATAAGACATGATAATTATAATTATATTATTATTATGTAAACATAATATAATTGGTAATACTATTCTTTTATACAGCACAGATAGTTTTATTATTTGGTATTAAATAAGTAATGTCTAATTTAGAGTCACATACGGGTATTTCTTTAAGAAAATAGGCACACAGTACTCTTATTTTTGTCCGTTATATGGTGTAAAATTAAAGAGGATGATAAATAAAAAAAAAAAAGGGAGCTTAGTTATAAATAAAGAAGGATTTTCCCATAGAAAAGTGGAAATGATTTTGCATAATGTGGTGAATTAAAAAAGAATGTTGAGGAAAATAATGTAGGGATGGAAAAGCAAAAGCTGGTAAAAATTGAAACGTAGTGTGCAACCGTGTATTGAGTTTGCAGACACAGAGAGAAAGAGTGAAAAGACAAGTCAAATGTCAAATCGGGGGTCTTTGAAATCATAAGACCGTCAGTGGGTTGTGCTGTCAATCCATGGGATATTTTTCTTATAAATTTAAATTCATAAGAGAGGACTGAGGAGGCAAAACAACAGCATCCCATTTTTATAAAGCTTAACCAAGCGATAGTTATAGTTATAGTTATAGTTATATATAATTTGATAACAAAAACTAGGGAATAATAGCATCACTCATGTCACGTGCTCTGCTTCTTGTCTACCTTCACTAGTATAAAAACAAATATTATAATGAAAAGGAAGAATTAGTTAATAAACAGTTACAGTTAGATGTAAATGTGTGTCGGTATTAGGAACGATTCCCAATGCCTGAAACATCTCCGAACCGCTTAATTAAACCCGCCCCACACGCTTTCAACTTCCGCTTCATTATTATATTATAAACCACTTTTTATTTTTAACACATATAAATCAACTATATTTATTTCTAATTTACATTTGTATCTTAATTGCCTATAATACTTTACTACAAATAAGAGAAAAGAAAAAAAATCAATTTAAGTATTCACCAATTGGTTTAACTTAGATTTAGAGCAAAAAAAAATTTATAAAATTTATAAAATATTTAATTTAATCAAAATATATATATTATTAATTAACAAAGTGATAATATATTTAAAAATGACAAAAATATTAGAAAAGTATAAATTGTGAAGTCTAAAATATAAATGTAAAATTTAAAAATAAACTAAAAAATTAATCAAATTATCATATTAATTTATATTAAAAAATAAAAAAAATGCAATAATCATCTTAATTAAAACACTACAATGATTTTTCAAGAATCAATCTAATTATCATATTTATATAAATTTTTGTACTAGCAACTTTAAACCAATTCAACTGATATTCTACAAGTGTTTGATTAATCTAATTCAATAAATATCATAATTAAATAATACAAAGTAAAGGAAAAAAAAATATATATATAATAAAGTATTGTAAGAATTTGTTATATATAAAGAACTCAATTTCTTAAATTAAAGTATATTGTACTTTAATGAATTAACCTTTTTAAAATTACATATCTTCAACAATAATAATATATAAGTTGGTAAAATCTATATATATGATCATATTTAATTCGAATATTAATGTATTTTAAAAATATTTATTAAAAGAAGTCAATTTTTTAAAATAAATTTTTATATTTTAAAAATAATTTCTAACTCTTAACTAGAAAAATATGAAATTCATCTGAAAAAAATATTTATATAGTATAATAGAGGTAATGATCTCATTGGAAACACAGTAGATTATTATATCTTTGACACCTATAAACACACTAGTTAGTAATATGATTGTATTAACTATTAATTCTACTAGCATATAAAAATAACATCTGTTATAAATACATCATATATCAGTATAAAATATTATATTATTAATGTACACTTGTAAAATTTTATATAATGGTTATTTTTTTCATAAAATGAAAATTATACGGGGCCACTTTAATGCTTTGTAGTGTAAGCTCTATATTTATGATATTTTATTTTATTTTACTTTTAATTAATTTACCTTCATTTTGATTTCAACTGTATAATTTCATTTTTTTTTTCTAAACAATTCAAGCTGATATCTAAAATTTATGGTTATGTTCGGCAGTAAAAACAATTTTAAGAATTTGTTTTTTTTACGTAGTAAAGTTGACGTTGAAAGAATTTACATTAATTTTTTTATTTTTAGTTTAAAATTAGAGTACAGACATATTGAAAATATAAATTAACTTTTTTTTTTATAAATCTTACAGCTTAAAATATTTTTTTTTATAAATAAATTAGAATGCACTAAAAATATTTTTTTTATAATGTCATTCATTACATTATTATTTAATTTTTTTTATATAATTCATACAACTATTATATGGTTATACTTAAAGTTTCCTTGTTACTAATAACCCACTCACTCACTTAATAGAACATAATACGTATATATTATGAAGTGTACCAAAAAGTTTGAATTTTATAGAAAAAATAATAATAATTCACCTAACTTTGCCTGAACTGTGAGTTAAAGTCTACACACAAACTTGCTTTAAGGGATTTTTACAGGCCACACCGATCCTTTTTTAGGACTTATGCTTCTTATATGCTCGGTCAATCAAACAAACTTAAACGGACTTGACCTAACGAATGACGAAATTCAAATGGGCTTAATTTTTAATGAATACGTTTTTCTGGTTTCAATTTTATTTTTTTTAAATAATATATAAATGAACATGTAAATTTTTTTATTAAAACTATTACGTTATCTATTTCATTATATAAAAAGAGATATACTCTTTAGTGACCGTTTTGGTAGTTTAGAGTTTATAAAAAAACTAAATTGCTTATATTTTTAAGTACCTAAAATTCACTAATTGCATAATAATTTCTTTCAATTGATTTTCTTTTTCATTTTGTTCCTCATAATGAGCAACTGCGGATCATCACTTTTCTAAATTGCTTTTAGATAATGAGACTCGACTCCACTAATTTTAGATAATAAGAAAGTTTTTATTTATTAAAATTTTAATAAATATTTTTTTTACTATCAATTAATTCAAAATAATTATTCATATAATTAATATAAAAATTAACAAATTTATAATTTATATACTTTTTTATCTATAAAGAAAAATTATAAAGATACGAGAAAAATTGAACTTAGGTCTTCTTTATTTTTATTTCCACTGTTTCCTCTTAATTACTTGACTAATCTTATTAGTCTTTATATATAGTAATTACAAAATTATATATGTTGGTTTGTAATTACATGATGATGTTAAAAAGTTATACACATTTGATACATATATTATTTATTTTAAGTCAACTATTATAAGCTTAAAATTAATTAATATAGGATTTGATTATTTTCCGGCGTAGAAAAATCACATTATTTATCATTTATAAATTTTAACAAACTTTTATTCAAGGTTCTAACTTTCGAGTAGGTCACTTACCGATCTTGTTTTAAATCCATTTTTTAGACTCTACGATAAATCGAAGAAATCAAAACACTTTTGTTGACTACAAATAGAAAAGGTTAATCATATCAAGTTATTCTTTAGTTGTAAATCCACATTGGATTTACTTTTCTGTTGTTTGTGTGAGTACGTGTATAACTGTTTTTTTTTTTCTTTTTTTTTCTTTTCTAATTTGTAGTGTCCTACATCATTTTTAGTTTTTTTTTTTCTTTCACAAATAATATAGACTTAAGCATGAATTCTCTTCAAAAAGAAAGAAAAGAAGGCTTAAGCATGAATGACATTTATTTATTTGAGCTAATGATAGGCTGAGACACACATGGGTGTTAGTTTACGTTATTTATAAATAATAATGGATAGGATACTTTACCAAAGAGAAAAATATATTATAAATCTTAATTATGTCGTGGCCCGAAAATCAAAATTATACAACTTGAATCCATATTATTTTCAATTGATTTCAACATAATTCTTTTTAATATTGCGAGCGCTTTACAATGATACACGAGAAGAATATTTTTATCATCAAGAACCAAAAGTTGCGAATAAAACAGAATAACAATGATGTTAATTTTTAATTATTTTAAAAATTGAAACCTATTATATAGTTTTCATATTTTTCTTATCGTAAGATACAAGACACCCAAAACCCTATGAAAGTGTTCACAAGTATTATGCGATGAGAAAAACATAATGCTAAGGAATTTTTTTAAAATTAAAATTATACCGATTTCGAAATAATTGAGTCTCGTCAATGGGAAATGCGACTTAATTTGTTGATACCAGTAACTATGAACAATTGAACATGCCGCCATTTTATGTGATAGCACAGTAAGCACACTACTAACTAATAACTCTTTTTTTTTTTTTTTTGAACTACTAGTATTATTATTCTATTTCAAGACAATCATGTTCGAATTTATAAATGAAATAATCACTCGTTTAAATAATTTGTTTAAATAAAAGCAATATATAAGCAAATATGAAAGAAATATATTTTTATTTTACACACTTCTTTATATAATCAAAAGATATAACTTTTTTTTAATCAGATGAACTTATTTTAAAAGTAAAATAGTATTGAATCAGAATTATGGAGGAATTATTTATATTCATGACTTTTGATTATTTTATGTCATTTTTTATTATATATTTTCTGTTTATCTTTTTCATTATATGGCTCATCTTATTTAATTTAATTTTTTTTCTTCTTCTCTGTTTTAATCTTTTTCTTAGTATATTTTATTAATAATTAGACGTGAATACTTTGTGAACCCATCTACTAATAGTGTGTGGATGTTTTTATTTGTTGGAAAATATAAATAGAAAGAGAAAAAATGCGGACAGGACGTACAAGAGCAACAGTGAAGAGAATAGGCCCCAAGGAGTTGTATTAATTAAATATTTATAGAGAGTTGAGTTGCTTATATGATTATGCATAGTATATAATCAAAGTCTAAGGTGTCGTATTTTTTTTATCCAGATATCGTTTTCAGTCCTTCTCCAACATGCTTCTACTTCCATCCCTCGCTAACACTATACTCTACTCTCTCAGTATATGTAGACCACGAAGCATACAAAAAGGAAAAAAAAAGTATTTTTAATTAATATTTTTCTCCTTTTTTAACCCCCGAGCCGCCCAGAATAGCCACCCAAATTGCAATCTTTCTTTCTCTCTCTTCCCAGGCACTCTATCTCTCACACCAAAAATATCTATGAAAAATATATTTGCAATCCCAAACCATAGAGCATCGAGCGAGCGAGCGAATCCCATAAAAACAAGCACAGTAGCATCATCATCATCATCAACAACAAAGGGATGAACATGAAGCAACCTCTTTCTTGGTGTTCTTGTTCTTGTTCTTCTCACTATTCCATCTCTCTCACTTTTCCCTTAAACACCCCCAAGAACCCTAGGACAGCACAGTAAATCTATCAGAACAGGTAAGAAACAGTAACAGTGGTAGCAGTAGCATCAGCATCAGCATCACCATCACCATGTCCCTTGAAGAGTCGCTAAGATCTCTATCGCTGGATTACCTGAACCTCCTCATCAACGGGCAGGCCTTCAGCGACGTCACTTTCAGCGTGGAGGGACGTCTGGTTCACGCGCACCGCTGCATGCTGGCCGCGCGGAGCCTCTTCTTCAGGAAATTCTTCTGTGGGCCGGACCCACCCTCTGGCCTGGACCCCACCGGCCCAAGGATCAACTCGCGCTCCGGAGTCATACCCGTCAACTCCGTCGGCTACGAGGTCTTCCTCCTCATGCTCCAGTTTCTCTACAGTGGCCAGGTCTCTATCGTTCCCCAGAAGCACGAGGCCCGCCCCAATTGCGGCGAGCGTGGCTGCTGGCACACGCATTGCACCTCCGCCGTTGATCTCGCCCTCGACACCCTCGCTGCCGCTAGATACTTCGGCGTCGAACAGCTCGCATTGCTCACTCAGGTTTTCTTCTTTCCTATGTTTCATGCCTCTTCAGAATTCGTACCCCCTCTGCTCCAGTTTTTGGGAACTGGGAACTCCGAACAACCCCCCTTTTCTTCTTTTTTTTTTTTTTTTTTTTTTTTAATTCGGGGATGAGAATTTTGGGTCTGTTCGTTCTATTCTATGATCTTGTGTCACCGCTCTTGTCAGCGACTGAATAGCTGATTTCTTTTCTTTTCTTTTTCTCTCTCCCTCTCTCTTTCATTAATTTCACTCTTCTTAGTTCCTTCACTTTCACTTGTTTCTTCGATTCTAATTTCTATCCGCAAGTAATTGAACCTATATATTACTGTTCTTATTTATTATATATTTTAGTGCTGGACGTAGCTGATTTCATGTAGAGTTTTTCTCGAATTGCCGTTCTTCCAGCACTTCGACGCACACTCAGGAATTTCTAAATTTAGCTCTTGATATGCAGTCTTGTCTTGCACACAGTAAGCGCACGAAACTTTTCCCAAACATCCACTTTCCTCATTTGGGGTTTGGACTCGAAAAGAGAACAAACCTCCGCAAAAGAAAATTAAAAAAAGGGTCCTTTAATTCTCCTGCACAACCATCCCATCCCGTCCCATTTATTATTGCCTTACATGGAAGTGCTATCTATATATATATATATATAAAAACATGTTTTTCAATGCACGATATAGCAAACTCTCTTTCATGCTCTCACGCGTGCTTTGTGTGTTACTAGAAACAATTGGCGAGCATGGTAGAGAAGGCTTCGATCGAGGATGTAATGAAGGTGCTGTTGGCATCTCGGAAGCAAGACATGCAGCAGCTATGGGCCACTTGTCCTCACCCGGTGCCAAAACCGTGTCCCCCTCCGGAGGTTCCCGCCAAGCACCTCCCCATAGACATCGTGGCAAAGATCGAAGAGCTTCGGCTGAAATCCTCCCTGGCGCGCCGCTCCTTAGTGCCGCACCACCACCACCACCACCATCACGCCGCTCTCGACCTCGAGGACCAGAAAATCCGCCGCATGAGGCGGGCCCTCGACTCCTCCGACGTTGAACTGGTGAAGCTCATGGTAATGGGAGAAGGCCTCAACCTGGACGAAGCACTGGCCTTACCCTACGCGGTTGAGAATTGCAGCAGGGAAGTGGTGAAGGCCTTGCTTGAACTCGGCGCAGCCGACGTGAACTACCCCTCCGGCCCCGCCGGGAAGACGCCGCTCCACATTGCGGCGGAGATGGTGTCGCCGGACATGGTGGCGGTGCTTCTGGACCACCACGCGGACCCCAATGTGAGAACCGTGGATGGGGTCACACCTTTGGACATCCTCAGAACCCTAACCTCGGATTTCCTCTTCAAGGGGGCTGTCCCGGGTTTGTCCCACATCGAGCCCAACAAGCTGAGGCTGTGCTTGGAGCTTGTTCAATCCGCGGCTCTTGTGATGTCGCGAGAAGAAGGCAATGCCAACAACAACAACAATGCTCCTTCTTCCGCGGCACCCATCTACCCTCCACCTATGAACGAGGACCACAACAGCAGTAGCAGCAGCGGCAACAACAACAACATTGGTAACCTCAACTTGGATTCAAGGTTGGTGTATCTCAACCTCGGCGCCACCGCTCCAATGAGTTCCAGGTTGGACAGTGGTGAGGACGAGAGAGAAGCCATGAACACAACCATGTACCACCACCACCACCATCACCACTCTCATGACTTCTAGTAACTTTTCATATACATTACTGATATATGATTTAAAGCTAAGCTAAGGTATTTGAAATGCTGCCACGGACGATGGAGAATTGTGGAGGGATGGATGGAGCATGAAAGAGTCTTCTTTGGTCACTTGAAATAGACTGGTATTCACTGCACTTGTGATTTTTATGTCTTGGATGGCTCTATGGTATTTTGTTGGTTGGGTTTTCCTCTTTTTAGTTTTTGGGTTTAGGCTTTTCAAATGGTCACCATTTGAAGTGCGGTTTCATGGGATAAGGGACAGGGAGAATCTAATAGCTTCCATTTTTTTTTTTCTTTTTTCTTTTTCTATTTTTCCTGTGAAATGAAACGAAAGGGTGCATGGAGGAGACGCAGGTCAATCTTTTCAAATCCTCCTTCACCTGTCAACTCCTTAATTTGTATTTACTGATCCGTAGCTAATATCACGGCCTATTTATTGTGATCGCTTTACAATTTCAGATTATCTTGCCCCACCTCGCACTTTCTCGTAACCCCTCAATTATTTCTTTACATTATGTTTTGCTTCTTCTTCCTGTGCTGTGGGGGTTATTCCCTTTTTCGAATTTATTTTCCAAAGTGTTTGAATTTCTCTTTCCTTCATATATTTTTCTAGTTAGTTAAGAGATGGATCATACAGGGCTGTCTCTTCTCTTCTGCTCCCACCTAATATATTATGTTTTTTTCCTTCTAGCATTTTGTAGTCCTTTGGAGCCATCCATTGGCTAGTGTTTTGGGGTTAATTATTCTAATAAAAATCATGTGGCTGTGGACAAATTGATTTGTTGTCTTGCATGAATGCAACAATGAGTGTGACCACACATGTCAAGTTAAAAAATTGGCACTATCACCTTCCATGTAATCCTCTTCTTGTCTCCCTTGCCTTTTTTAGGTCTCTTTAGACAAAACAAAAATAAATAACTTACAGCTAAAACCCTATTATATTACTAATCATTTCTTTAATTATTACTATATATATGTTCTGTCTAAATTCATCGGATGTTGGTTTCGGAAGATTCTTGCAGATTAGTCTATAATTTTCTGCTTCAATTGTATGTTATATATGCAGGGTCTTAACTGTATTTTACTTTAAAATCATTGTCCCAAATCAAACCTATTAACATTTGAAATTATAATGCCAACCGATCTCTAATATTAACGTGTTTTTTAAACTATAGTGATCTTACGGAATATATACATAAAGTTTATGTTTAGGCAAGATGTATCCACATTAGATGTATGTCTCGAGAGTACACCAAAAACAACCTTTTACGAATGACTAATTTTAGCACCCTAACAGTTAGATTTAAAAAATTTATACAATTCAAAAGTTATTTTATATTTTTTCGCACTACTTTATTAGCTTATTGTATATTAGTTTAAATATCCGTAAAAAAAAATTTGGATCAAATTATGGGTACATATAGATAGATAGTTTCATGCATATTTAAAAATCATTAAATGTTAGAAATTATTTGCACATATTATAAAATGTTCCTTTAGAAAGTTGTAAAAAAAACAATGATTTTTTTTTTCAAAATAAGATGAACTAAATATGTATTTAATGAAATAACTTTATTAAACATTTATTTAATAAATGTTTATCCCACAAGCACGCATGTATAAGTTTACTAAAATAAAATAAAAATTGTTTCTATATCAAAAATATAATATCTAGATGTTTATACAAGTATTTTATGTCATAAGATATATTCAAAAATTCTAAATGAATTGTTTAAGAGCCTTCATTAGTTAAGTACTTACTTAATATGCTCTTATTACATTAAAGTTTAGATTTTATAAATCTACTCATAGAATTTATGCAAAGAATATAAAAGTCTTATTTAAGACCATAAACTTATGAAAATAAACTAAAACAAACTTATAAGACTCATAAGAAACTCTTCCAAGTAACTCCTATATTTAGGAATCTCTAAATTATATATGATTTCATGCATATATTCATTAAGATAATATCACATCATTTAATGATTAAATCAATAACATTCAATCTTATGAGGTGAGATGAGAAGTGAAAGGAAAAGAAATTACTACATAATCATATATAGATAATCAACACTAAATTTTGAATAAAATCAATCTTGACTATTAATTCTTATATAATTTAATTATACAAATAAGAATATTTCTTCTCATTTCTCACATGCCACTAATAAGACATTCGTGTCTAGTAAGATCCAATTATATTTGTTATATACCCGGACGTTCTTGAATGCCTAGTCTAAATTTGATTAGTGAGCAAGAATGCATCATATATGATTTATATTTTCCCATAAATTGTGATATTAACATGATTGTTTTTAAGTTTTAAATAAAAAGTTTTACTATGCACTTAGCATTAGATGGTAGGAATGATTTCAAAATATGCATCTCGCCAAGGAAATCGTGGGAAGAATATGAACAATTAAGAAATCAATTACATACTCATGCTGCAGTTTTTGGACTATCTCATGTTCTTCTCAAAGTCACTCACAGGAAATCCTCATGTTCTTCAAACATGATTGTTAGCTCCTGTGTCCTCCCTTGTTCCTGTTCTACTTCAGTTATATATATTTGAAACAAACACCCGCAAATTTGTAAGTTATTTTCTTCAATGTGAAATCCATACAGAAATATTAAAGGAAACAGGAATTATATTGTGTTTGCAAAAAAAAACACGCCAGTCGTTCATAACGTATATATCAGCATTTTTTTTTGGACAGCGTATATCTCAGCATGTTGTTACTTGTTTTGTTACCCTCCATTATGCATTTTGTAGCGATATTTATTTTTATGATACACTAAGTGTCTAGTTCACTTTGGTGATTATATTCATGGTATTTTATACGCACACTTGTTGATGCTTTGCTAATTGGAAAAGAATAATTCTAAATCTCCGTATAATATTTTTGTTCTAATCTCATTTATTATATATATATTTTTTTTTTATATTTCTAAGATATTAAATATATTTATTTCTTATATGACACAGTTTTATAAAATAGTAATTTATTTTTTTGGTAAGAATATATCATATAATAATATAAAATTAGTATCTCAGTATCTTGTGCCCTCCAATGTGTATTTTGTAGTGATATTCATTTCTACACTAATAGTGTCTAGTTCCAATTTGTGATTAAGTGCATAGTATCTTATGCACACTTGTTCATGCTTTAGTATCTGGACAAGAATAATTTTAATCTTCGTACTCCTAAACTTGTCTATCTATTAGATAAAAGTATCGTTTATTCTTTTTATACTTCTAATATATTATATACATTCATTTTTTATTTAATACATTCTTATAAAATAGTAAAAACAAAGTAGTAATAATATATTGTAGGAAAATGTAAAATTACTCATTAGAAAACTTGCATATTAAAGAATGTTTAACACATGTTTTCTAATAACCAAATTTCAATTTAATAAGATGGGCTTGTCTGGCGTAAACTTAATATAATAAGTAATGTCTGATCATCTGTACAACACAATTCTGGAATAACATTTATTATTTCTTTAATTTTTTGTAAAATATTTTTGAGATATGTATTATATATATA